GTATTTCAATAATACTTTGCCTGGTATAAACACAACTGTTTCAATGCATGAGTTGCTCAACAAAGCACTATTTGCCCTTTAAACCACACTTTGCCATAATTTTTTTTGTTGAATATGGTGCTTCTTTCGTATTTTGGTTGAGTATGGTCCTTTAAATGGTATTCACTTGAGTCAAATTGGGCTATTTGCTTAATAATTGCTCGAGTAGCTAAATTCGCATAAAATGATTATTTCAAAAATAAAAACGATTCATGAATATGTAAACATAAGGTATTTCAGTGGACTTTTCAGAGAGCATACTTTGCCTAGTACAAACACAATTGTATAAATACAGTAGTTGCTCAACAAAGCATTATTTGCACTTTAAACGCACACTTTGCCATATTTTGGTTGAGAATGGTGTCTATTTCGTATCTTGGTTGAGTATGCTCCTTTAAATAGTATTCACTTGAGTCAACTTGGGCTCTTTGCTTAACAATTTCTCCAGTAGTTAAATTCGCATAGAACCAAGAAAAATGTTTCACTATTTGATTAATACTTTGCCTCGTACAAACACACTTGTATAAATAAATTAGTTGCTCAACAAAACATTAATTGCCCTTTAAACGCACAATTTGCATAGAAAGCCACAAATCTAAACATCTAAAGACAGCAATGTCCGCTTCAGATTCAAAATGTAGATTCTTCCAATGCTGGCTTATCGGGGTCTGTGAGGTGGGTGTCCCAGTAACTGTCCTTCAATACCCGGTGATTAACTACGCGACTTTTGGGCCTTCTTTGTTATATTTTGTTAAAAAGGCCTAAAAAGGCCGAAAAAGGGTAGGTCGCTGGGGGGGGGGGGTAGCATATATATATATATATATATAATTCGATTCCGTGCTCGTATTGTGAGGGGCTAGTGATCGCCCTAGAGGTTTGTCGTATGTCCTCCCGATTCTTGTTCCTGAGATTTGGTAGGGGCCTAGAGCTTTGTCGTATGTCCCCTCCTTTCGCCCCTTCGTGTTGTAGGGGTTTTGTTGGGCCCTTGAAGGCTTGTCGTGTGTCCCCTTTCTTCGAGCTTGGAGAATTGAGGAGTGTCGAGATGATTACCATACATCATTTGCTTCCGTGCTCGTACTATGTGGGGTTAGTGACTGCCCTAGAGGTTTGTCATATGTCCCCTTCCTTCGTCCCTTCGCGTTGTATGGGTAAGGGTTTTGTGAGGGCCCTGGAGGCTAGTCGTATATCCACTTTCTTCGAGCTTGTAGGGTTTGGGGGGAGCGTCTAGAGTCTAGATGATCGTCATATATGATTTGCTTCCGTGCTCAAACTATGAGGGGCTAGTGGCTGTCCTAGAGGTTTGTCATTTGTCCCCCCCGTTTCCTTGGTCCTGTGATTTGGTAGGGGCTTAGAGGTTTGTCATACGTTCTCTCGCTTCGTCCTTTCGTGTTGCAAGGGTTTTGTGAGAGCCCTGCAAAATTGCCGTGTGTCCCCTTTCTTCTCACTTGTAGGGTTTGGGGAGCGTCTAGACGACTGACATATAATTTGATTCCGTGCTCGTATTGTGAGGGGCTAGTGATTGCCCATGATTGCCCTAGAGGTTTGTCGTATGTCCCCCCGATTCCTGTTCCTGAGATTTGGTAGGGGCTTAGAGCTTTGTCGTATGTCCCCTCCTTTCGCCCCTTCGTGTTGTAGGGGTTTTGTTGGGCCTTGAAGGTTTGTCGTGTGTCCCCTTTCTTCGTGCTTGGAGAGTTTGAGGAGCGTCGAGATGATTACCATACATCATTTGCTTCCGTGCTCGTACTATGTGGGGTTACTGACTGCCCTAGAGGTTTGTCGTATGTCCCCTTCCTTCGTCCCTTCGCGTTGTATGGGTGGTAAGGGTTTTGTGAGGGCCCTGGAGGCTAGTCGTATATCCACTTTCTTCGAGCTTGTAGGGTTTGGGGGAGCGTCTAGAGTCTAGATGATCGTCATATATGATTTGCTTCCGTGCTCAAACTATGAGGGGCTAGTGGCTGTCCTAGAGGTTTGTCATTTGTCCCCCCCGTTTCCTTGGTCCTGTGATTTGGTAGGGGCTTAGAGGTTTGTCATACGTTCCCTCGCTTCGTCCTTTCGTGTTGCAAGGGTTTTGTGAGAGCCCTGCAAAATTGCCGTGTGTCCCCTTTCTTCTCACTTGTAGGGTTTGGGGAGCGTCTAGACGACTGACATATAATTTGATTCCGTGCTCGTATTGTGAGGGGCTAGTGACTGCCCTAGGGGTTTGTCGTATGCCCCCTCCCCCGCTTCCTTGTTCCTGTGATGTAGTAGGGGCCTACAGGTTTGTCGTATGTCCCCTGCCTTCGTCCCTTCGTGTTGTAAGGCTGATAAAATTTTTCTGAGGGCCCTTGGAGATTTGTCGTATGTCCCCACGCTTGGTGTTCCTGAGATTTGGTAGGGGCCAGAGATTTGTCGAATGTCCCCTCCTTTCGTCCCTTCGTGTTGAAATTGCTTTGTTGGGGGAAGGTTTGTCGTATGTCACCTTTCTTTCTTCTTAGAGGGTTTGGGGATCTTCTAGAAAACTGTCATATATCATTTGCTTCCGTGCTCGTATTATGAGGGCTTTCTGTTCCTGCGATGTGGTAGGGGCCTAAAGAGGTTTGTCGTGCGCCCCCTCCCTTCGTCCCTTTGAGTTGCAAGGGTTTTGTTGGACCTGGAAGATTTATCGTATGTCTCCTTTGTAGGGCGTGGGGAGCGTCTAGATGATTATCATATATGATTTGCTTCCGTGCTCGTATTATGAGGGGCTAGTGACTGCCCTAGAGGTTTGTTTTATGTCTCCCTGCTTCGTGTTCATGTGATTTGCTAGGGTCCTGGAGATTTGTCGTATGTCATTTTACCCTATACGAAATTAGATACAATCCCTTCGTCCCTTCGTGTTGTAAGGGTTTCGTGAGGGTCCTAGAGGTTTGTCGTATGTGCCCTTCCTTCGTCCCTTCTTGTTGTAAGGGTTTTGTGAGGGCCCTGCAAATTTGCCGTATGTCCCCTTTCTTCGTGCTTGTAGGATTTGGGCAGCGTCTAGATGATTGTCATTATCATTTGCTTCCGTGCTCGTACTATGAGGCGCTAGTAACTGCCCTAGACCTTCAGGGCCCTCACAAAACCCTTACAACACGAAGGGACGAAGGGAGACGACATACGACAAACCTCTATCATCTAGAGGCTCCCCAAACCCTACAAGCAAGAAGAAAGGGGACATACGACCAACCTCCAGGGCCCTCACAGAACCCTTACAATAGGAAGGAATGAAGGGAGGCGACACACTACGAACCTTTAGGCCCCTACCAAATCACAGGATCACGAAGCGGGGGCGTCATCTGACAAACCTCCAGGCCAATCACTAGCCCCTCATAATACGAGCACGGAAGCACATGATATGTGATTATCATCTACACACTCCCCAGACCCTACAAGCACGAACAAAGGGGACATACGACAAACCTCCAGGACCCTCCCAAAACCCTTACAACACGAAGGGACGAAGGGAGGGGACACACGACAAACCTTTAGCCCCCTACCAAATCACAGGAACACGAAGCGGGGGGACATACGACAAACCTCTAGGGCAGGCACTAGCCCTCATAATACGAGCACGGAAACACATCATATATGTTAATCATTTTGATGCTCCCCCAAAACCTATAAGAACGAGAAAGGGGAAGCACACAAACCTCCAAAGCCCTTACAAAACCCTTACAACACGAAGGGACGAAGGGAGGGGACATACGACAAACCTCTGGCCCCTACCAAGTCACAGGAAACACGAAGCGAGGGTGCTTGCCTAAGTCTGGCTGTTGGCCGGCTGGATCTACATTTACTGCTACTACTACTACTACTACTACTACTACTACTACTACTACTACTACTACTACTACTACTACTCCTACTACTCCTACTACTACTACCACTACTACTTTCAAGAAGTTTTGTAAATAGTAAACAAAGGGGCGTGCCAAATAGACCCTAAAGGTCCATGCCACATATATGTATAGATATATATATATATATCCATATATATATATATGTACATACATACATACATACATACATACATACATACATACATACATACATACATACATACATACATACAGAAGCAAAAACAAAAAACACATCCGGGCCTCGATGGGGCTACGCCTGTGGAGTCTGCCACAGCTGCAGAAAGCGCCGACCTCCCACCATACACTGAAGAGGCCTATCCTACCCAAGCCCCTCACACCACCAAATATCATACACATCAATACAATTAGCGCGAATAATCATGTTTGGCTCTGAAAACCGCATCACACCTTGCAGCAGCTTAGGCCTGATACGGCAAGCTCATCTTTGGTATACGGCCCCCAGTATGGCTTCCCAAACATGGCCTGATGTGCGTACTACTTACAAGGGTCGGAATGATTACGAATGGTATTCCCTTATGGTCCCTTTATCATTACTATACTATAGTAAAGCCCTATTCTAACCATTAAGGCCCCTATGTTAGCCCGTGCTTCCTCATGCCTCTGTTCTGTCATCTGAGTGCGCTGCACTTTGCCGTCGGCCGGCAATGTAAGGTCAAACCTGCGGCAGGCGACTCCCGTGCCATTTGTTGAACATCATAAGCACGAGAAGCAAGCAACGGTTTGGAGCTGCTCTGCTTTGAATATTGAATTCGACGACCTGCCGCAAGCACTACTGAAGAGACGCTGGATGTCCATTTCTGTAAGGGGATTTCAATACCGGCTTTCGATTCAGACCCGGTTACAGGTACCCTAACGAAGAATATATAACCACATAACCCTTCGTATCCCACATACACCCAAGGTTCCAAGGTATAGCTGCCCATGAACCGACCACGCAAACTTATGAGTCTCATTCACGCACACCTGCGGCGCGAAAGCCCCGCGTGGGCCTGCGGCGCGGAAGCCGCGCATGGTTTGCATCCAATTCTGAGCGAACTACCAAGCCATGATCTCAGAACCAAGCTCTTGCATGCCTTGAGCTGCTTAAAGATGCTGCTTGGCAGAAGGCAACATCCGGGCCGTGATCTGAGCGATAGAGAACCACTGAAGCAGCGCCGTGAGAACAAAAAGGCGCTTGTCGCTGGCAAAGTACGGCACAAGCACCAGCCGGACGCCCATCTCTTCGCAGAGCTGGCGCTTCCTGACATCCCTCTCCAGTTGCCTCTCAAAGCTGCGAGGGTCACCGAAATGGTAGTAGTTATCAGGATCGAAGTGCTGCTCCCCCTGGTACTCGAATGCCAAAGATAGCTCGGAACAGTAGCCGTCCAACTGCAACCCTCCCAGAAACTCGGGATAGGACGACTCGAACGTTGAAGGAGCAAAGATGGCTTCCAGAATGCTTCGGACCTCAGCTTCCGTCTTCCAAGAAGCGCTTGCACATTGAGGGCACCAAGTCTTGTTATGCAGGATGCTGTTGGCACTGGCTTTCCACGTGTGGCCGAGCTGGCATTCCCAAAGAACATTGACATTTTGGTTGCTATACGTCTTGGAGAGGCACCTCCCGCCCAATGACGCGGCGTGTTCCTGAAGACGCGCCAGGCCAATTTTCCGGCACTCGGGGCACCAGGTGCCTTTGTAGATGACGTCGCTCACGAATGCTCGCCATAGATGGCCAGAACCGCACTTCCATTGCACCTTGGTGCGGGCATTCTTGTAGTCCTTGGCCAGGCACTGTCCACCACGGCGGGCGGCGTGGCTCCGCAGTCGCTCCAATCCCAGTGCCCCACTCTTCGCGCAAAACGGGCACCATGACTTGCCGTTCAACACGCTGTTTGCCCTCGCACGCCAAGTGTGGCCTTTCTCGCACTGCCACAAAACTTTCACACTCATACCAGCATATTCGGCAGCCAAGCACTTGCCACCACGTGCAGCGGCATGCCCCTGCAAGTCCCGCAACGTGGGCTTGGAGCGTGACTTGTTTTTGCGTGCACACTCGGGGCACCAGGACCCTTGGTTCAGAACATTTGCCGCTGTCGCCTCCCAGGTGTGTCCCAGCTTGCACTGCCAGCGAACCTTGGTACGATTGTTCCGGTACTCGTCGGACAAGCACCTGCCACCTCGTTCCATCACGTGCTCCTGTAGCTGGTGCAAGCTGAGCCGTTGTTTGCCGATGGCGCAGCGAGGACACCAGGTCCCTCCACTCAGCACGCCGTTCGGTGTGGCCTTCCACTGGTGCCCACATCTGCACTCCCACTGGGTTTTCGTCTTGCAATTCGTGTAATGCGCTGACATGCATCGCCCGCCCTTGCTGGCCGCGTGGTCCTGCAACCTGTGGAGCGCGGCCCTTTTGAAAGCTTCTTTGCTTTGCCACTTTCGCAGGGACAGTTCCAGGGCTGAGGAGCGGATCTCCTTGCCATCCCTGCACTGCAAATCGCTTTCGTCCGGACCTGTCCATCGTGGATGTGACTGGCCCTGTGCAACAGATTTGCATCTACGGGTGGTCAGTCCCGACAGGCTTCCCAAACTGACAACACGGCCTGCAAAGGCAGCCAGCCAGGATCGAGCTGCAGCACGCGGACGCCCAAAGCTCAAAGGCCTTCTAACATGTCGGAGCCTTGGAAGGAAGCCCCTGCACATTCTTCCGTCAGCATGACCCACATCAGCATTCAGCATCCTAAGCTATCCGCAGCTATCCTATAGCCATCGAGGCTCCAAGAAGGGCACAAGGGCGGCCCGAAATTCAAGCCAGCATGCTGCGGCGCGCATACAAAATCGCAAGCGCCATCCTTGCAGCCCCGTCGTTCCTCGGTTCCTTTTTGAGTTTTTGGCGCGTCAGAGCGCCCTATAAGCCCCTCTTAATTAGGCTCTTCTTCGGTCATGTAAGCCCCAGAGCTCATAGTTCAGAGGAACCCTCCCCAAAAAACACCACGAAATCTGAGCAGAGCAGTTTGGTTGAGGGCGCACTTTTCACCCACCCAGCCCCAAGCATTGAGAGCACACAGAACCAAGTACAGACCTGGAGCTTGCCTTAAGTAGCGACAAATACCTGTCTTTATGTGTATGTGCCTGAAGGGTATTTCATAAGGGTTTTGGGTTGATCCCTGTTGGCCCATCCTCTGAACCCTGCACCAAGAAACCCGCGAAAATCCGAGAACCGCATTTAGGGAGTGCTACACCCTCCTCCAGGCATGTCAGGCTCGAGGCTTACAGTTGGGGCCTGCAAGATTGAGCACCCCAAACCCCCCCTTCAAACGTTTCAGCTGCTCTCTTTAACTGGAATATCCACTCCCCGCGGCCTGTCTTTGTGGTGCTGGAGGCGGACTCGGATCGAGCTCTCCATGGCTGCACCCCCGAATTCCGTCAAGTCTGGGCCTATATGGATCTCAACGGTTAGCTTTGTGTTTCCTGCAAAGCTTCATGTCCACGGACCATCGCATCGGCGGCCTTGAAAGCGTTTGGTTTTCCTGAGCCTAAACACTGACGGCTTCAAGCGTGCAAACGACGAATCCGCAGCTAGAGACCACCATGCACCCAACAGCAAGGGCCCTATATTAGTTCATGGTTGCAATTGGGATAGCATTAAAGATTTAAATGTCTATTCCTTGTTGAGTTTAAGTGCCCTTAAAAATGCAAAAATGTTACCCCACTATGAGAAATTATAGGCCCTGGGTTGGGAAGACTGCCCTTGGGGGGGCACCATCTTGGCATCGTTCAACGCAACGGCGCCAATGACATAGCGAAATGAATCCATGCCATGCAGAGCCGGGACCCAAACGATGATGGGCGGTTGCGTTCTGTCATCCAACTCCGAAACTTGGCCCTTTGTAGAGCTGATCTTTGGGCCTGGAAACCATCCGAAGATAAAGACGAGTCTTCATGGGGTTTAAGGTTCAGTTTGTTACTAGGGTCTAGGGCCTTACATAGGGTTTTCAATCAATGCGGGCCCGTAATTTGGATCGGTCGGCCGATCTAAATTCACTGATCCCAGCTGGCCATCTCTTTTTCTTCCGATGTGGGCATCCTCCCTCATTGAAGGGGCGAGGTGTTCGACGACCCTCGCCAGCCAGCCTGATAAGCTCCAATGAACCGCACGTGCATGATTTGCTACTCCTGCATCCACAGGTGCTCTCAATCCCTGTCAATGTGGACTCACTTGTCATGTCGCTTGCACTCATGGTTTTGCTGTTGAAAGTGTTGTTTGCACTGCAGTGCCTGCGTCTCTCTTGTTTGCGATTGCTAATTACTGTAGCATTAGCATCCAAAAGATCGTGATGCAAGAATGCTGGTTGTGTCTTTGCTCTCGTCTCGTGTCTCGGATTCGCTACTGGCCTCGGCTTTCCCGCTGCCCACTTTATGTTCCGGTGTTGGTGCTACAAGCTCTGTGATCTACCGCTCCGATAGAACTGGTGGGCTGTCGGCTATCGTTCCGGCTTAACTGTTGCAGTCTGTCCACGTTGTTTGCCCAGCATTGCCCCTCTTCGTTTAGGATATCCGTAGCATTTAGGGTCTGTGCACTGGTCAGCTTAGCGGTGGTAGCCATGAGCCCCGGGCACCTTCAAACATCAGGACATCTGAGTGCTCTGCACCCTGCGGTCGGCCGGCAAGATTCGATCAAACCTGTGGCAGGCGACTCCCTTTGCGAGGGGCTTCCTTCCCCCTTTGCACGAGATCCAGGGGACAGAAATACAGGGTTTGGAGTCGACGTTTAGACAGATGACCTGCTGGCGGCGTTAAGAGGCTAGACATGTCCCGCAACGCTTTCTATTCAGATTGTGGTGATCCTTGGACAGGATGTTGTTCAACCAGTTTCACTACAAATGGGTGCAAGAGGGCATGAAGGCTATAAACGTGTAGTCATTGTTCCCTCCTACAGCAGGCGAAGGTACTGAATAGGTCTCTAAGTTGAGCGCCGCACCCCGTTTTATACTTCATGGCTCACGTCGGTATGAATAGGATTAGCACGGTTAAGCACCCCCCCCTAACATAAAATGTTACAAGTGTAGCTGTGAGTTATATCGATAGTTCGTGATAGTTCGTGGGAGCCCGTAACCCTACACAAGAAAACCAGGTTTTCCTTTAGTTTTCCCTGGTTTAGGGTTTGGGGCTTAATTAGGGTTTTGGGTGCACAGAACTACGTATGAGGACCCCACCTTTTTCCCTCAACGCTTGGGGGGTTTCGGGTTGAGGGCCCTAAGGTTTGAGGCTCTGGGGCATGCTCATGGGAACATCTGGGGTGCTCCTCAGTAGTTTAGGGTTTGGGGTTTATAGGATTTAGGGTTTATAAGGTCCGGCAGCTCAAAGCCCAAAGGCTCCAGGCCCGAGCCCCAACCCCAAACCCTGGGTTGGCCCTTTCTCCTCCCTGTTCCCAACCAAGATCCTCATAAGCCCAAGAAGGGAAAGGTATAACATGTGATGAAAAACTGTGTCGCGGGGTACATCGAATTTTGAACTCATGCAAGCTCATGTACTCTTTCGGCAAAGTGGCAACAGTGGAGGCGTGAGCTGAGCTATGGTGAACCACTGAAGCAGAGCCGTCATCACAAAAACACGCTTGTCGTCAGCAAAGCACGGCACTAGTACCAGCCGCACGGCTGCCTCCTTGCAAAGCCGGCGCTTCCTCGCATCCCTCTCCACCTGTCTCTCAAAGCTGGAAGGGTCGCCGAAATGGAAATAGTTGTCAGGATCGAAGTGCTGCACCCCCTGGTATTCGAAGGGCAAGGATAGCTCAGAACAGTAGCCGTACAACTGCAACCCTCCCAAAAACTCGGGGTAGCACGACTCAAACCTCGCCGGATCGAAGATGGCTTCCAGAATGCTTCGGACCTCAGCTTCCGTCTTCCAAGCGCTGGCTGCACACTGTGGGCACCAGGTCTTTTGATGAAGGATGTTCGCGGCACTGGCTTTCCACCTGTGACCATGCTGGCATTCCCAAAGAATATTGACAGTTTGGTTGCTATACGTCTTGGAGAGGCACCGGCCCCCCAACGACGCGGCGTGTTCCTGAAGACGCGCCAGGCCAATCTTTCGACACTCGGGGCACCAGGTGCCACGGTTGATGACACTGTCCGGAGATGCTCGCCATACGTGGCCAGAGCGGCACTTCCACTGCACCTGGGTTTTGTTATTCTTATAGTCCTCGGCCAGGCACTGTCCACCAAGGCGGGCGGCGTGGCTCCCAAGTCGCTCCAATCCCAGTGGTGCCCTCTTTGTGCAGGTTGGGCACCAGGTTTTCTGGTTCAACACACTGCCTGCCCTCGCATGCCAAATGTGGCCTTTCTCGCACTGCCAGGGAACAGTCACCCTCATGCCCACGTATTCAGTAGCCATGCACTTGCCGTCACGTGCAGCGGCATGCTCTTGCAAGTCCAGCAAGGTTCGCTTGGACTTTGATTTCGTTGTGCGGGCGCACTCGGGGCACCAGGTCCCCCGATTGAGAACCATGTTCGGCGTGGCCTCCCAGGTGTGTCCCAGCTTGCACTGCCAGCGAACCTTGGTATGATTGTTCCGGTACTCCGGACAAGCACCTGCCACCTCGTTCCCTCGCGTGCTCCTGTAGCTGGTGCAAGCTGAGACTTCGCTTGCCGATGCCGCAGCGAGGACACCAGCTCCCCCGATTCAGCACGTTGTGTGGCGTGGCCTCCCACCTGTGCCCACTTTTGCACTCCCACTGGACTTTTGTCTTGTTGTTCGTGTACTCTGTTGACATGCATCGCCCGCCCTTGCTGGCCGCGTGGTCCATTAACCTCTGGAGCGTTGCCCTTTTGAAAGCTTCTTTGCTTTGCCCCTTTCGCGGGGGCAGTTCTAGGGCTGAGGAGCGGATCTCCTTGCCATCCCGCCCGTCACACCGCAGGTCCCTCACGCAGGCGCTCGTCCATCGCGGATGCGACTGGCCTTGTGCAAGAGGCTTGCATCTATAGTTAATCTGTCCCGACAAGCCTCCGAAACTGACCAGCCTTCTGACATGTCGGAGCCTTGGATGAAAGCCAATGCAGAACATCATGCAGGAAGGACGTCGCCTTTGAAGATCTTTCCATCAGCAAGCTGGCCCAGATCAGCATTCAGCAGCCTAAGCTACCCTAAAACCATCGAGGTCCATGTGCCGGTAGCGCACCAAGGGAATCTCAAGGGCGTCCAAACACCGCAAACCCTAGTGTATCCCGGTATGCTGCGGCTGAAATGCGGGGCTTTCGCTGATCACTGTTGACCTCGTCTTTGGGAGTTCTACTCGGACCCTCGGAAGGGAGCCCCTGCACATGCTTCCATAAGCGAGCTGGCCCAAATGAACATTCAGCATCCTGAGCTGTAGGTTATAACCATCCAGACGTGTCTTTCAGAGGGCCTGCCTAGCGCCGGCACCAAGAAGGGCACTAAAAGCCAGCATGCTGCGGCTTGCATACCTCTCCCTGAAGCTGCTGAGCCCTTGCTTCCCCTCAGGGCTCAAAATCCAGAGTCGGGCTTGTGGGATTGAGGACCCCTTCGGAGGCTTGAGAAATAACACGCAGCCCTGGATCTTGCCACATCGCGACCATTTCGCGACCCTGGCAGGGAAGTTTTGGGGGCCTGTCTTTGTCGAGGGCTCACGTGCCTGCTCACAAGTATATTTCATGCAAGGGTTTTCGGTTGATCCCTGTTAGCCCATCCTCTGAACCCTGATCACCTTGAACCTACCAAGCCCCTGCCCCTCCGTAAGCTGCTCTGCACAAAAACAAACGCGAAGTCCGAGCACCTAATTTTGGGAGTTCTACACCCTCCTCCAAGCATGCCGAGGCTCAAAGGCTTACAGGATTCTGGAGCCTTGCCTTAATTGGTGACCCAATGGCAGGGAAGCCCCCCCGGGGCCTGTCTTTGTGGTGCTGGAGGCGAACTCGGATCGAGCATGGCCGCACCCGCGAATTCCGCCAAGCCTGCGTCTATACATCGACCTTCAGTGGTCAGTCCTGTGCGTCGCCTGCAAAAACTGCATCTCACCGTCATTATGCAATCTGAAAGCTTTTGTCTTTCCTGTTTCTAAACACTGACAGCTTCCAGAATGCAAACGATGACTCCGCAGTAGAGCCCATCATGCAAAAACGCAAGTCAAGATACGGACGAGCCTTCATGAAACGAACGTCATACTACCCTGAAACCCTAATGCCCCAATCCTACCCTCATGCCCTAGTATCCTGAACTCTCAAAAAAACTGTTCGAAGATCCTGCACCCTTTCTACGCTGCCCTTTTAGAACCATGATAAGAACACATGTTTCACACATTCCCTTGAGCTGCTTTTTATTGAATATACAAAATTAAACCAATACTGCCTCCAAGGGAGCTCTAGAGCCTTGTGGAAGCAGGGTTCCCAACTGGGGCCCGGGGGTGCCAGGGCCGAGTCCTTAAGTTCAGGGGCGCTCAAGTTATGGGGCTTTAGGGTTTTGAGGGTCTAGGGCTTAGGGTTGGGAAGCTACGTGGACGGGTAGTGTGGAGAGGTTTAGGGCCTTCTGGCATTTAGAGGATACAGGCCGGTGATTTGGCTCGGTCCGCCAACGTAAATTAAGTGATCCTATCTGGTCATGTCTTTTCTTCCGACTCGGGCATGCTCCCTCATTGCGGGGGCGAGGTGTTCGACGGCGCTCGGCAGCGAGCCTGATAAAGCGCCAGTGTGGGGAAGGGTTTCAAGGCTTCAGGGTTTCGGGCTTAAGGTTTTAGCTGGTCTGGAACACTGAAAAAAAGGTGGAGAAGCAACTTTGGGCCTATGGCTTTCTGCAGGTGTCCAGTTATCTGTTCCGGATGTTCAGGCGCGCTCCCAATCCCTGTCAACGTGGACTCACTTGTCATGCTGCTTGCGCTCCTTCTTTTGCTGTTAGACGTTTCGTTTGCACTGCCTGCGTCCTTTTTGTCTTGCGATTGCCTCTGTAGTATGCGCATCCAAAAAAAGGCTATGCGAACGTCTGCCTGGTATTAAGTCCTGTCCAGAAAGCCCCAGCACCCCCTATTTGTTTAACGGTTCGCTTCGGAGTTGATGCTGCAGGCTCTGTGATCGAACCCTTCCTTGGAATTGAAGGGGTTTTTGGCCATACTTCCCTCCCAGACGGCGTCGACAGTTCTCATTGCTTGCGAGGCAAGTGCCCCTTTTTGAGGGCACCGTGGTGGTCTCGTGTAGATGTGATGTTGCAGGCTTGGCGCGGGTAGGCAGGAGCCCCCCCCCCGAACATCTTCCAACATCAGAGCCGCCCGATAAAAGCTGCCTTCTCCATCCTGCGCTCAAAGTGAAGCTGCGGGCGGTACAACCCTGCAGGGACAGATGTCGAGAACAAAGCTCGCCAATGGTCTGTGCTGATCAAGTTCTCTGGGGCCGGTCGACATCTGGCAACATCGGGGCCGTGATCTGAGCGATGGAGAACCATTGAAGCAGAGCCGTGAACAGAAAAAGGCGCTTGTCTTTGACGAAGTACGGCACCAACAGAAGATGCACGCCGGCCTCTTCGCAAAGATGGAGCTTCCTGGCATCCCTCTCCACCTGTCTCTCAAAGCTGGATGGGTCGCCGAAACGAAAATAGTTGTCGGGATCGAAGTGCTGCTCCCCCTGGTACTCGAAAGCCAAAGATAGCTCGGAACAGTAGCCGTCCAGCTGCAACCCTCCCAGAAACTCAGGGTAGGACGACTCAAACCTGGCGGGATCGAAGATGCTTTCCAGAATGCTTCGGACCTCAGCTTCCGTCTTCCATGCGCTGCCCGCGCATTGCGGGCACCAGGTCTTTCCATGAAGGATGCTGGTGGCACTCGCTTTCCACCCGTGGCCCAGCTGGCATTCCCAAAGCATGTGCGCATGCGCGTTGCTATACGACCTGGACAGGCACCTCCCACCCATCGATGCTGCGTGTTCCTGAAGACGCGCCAGGCCGATCTTCTGGCACTCGGGGCACCAGCTGCCACGGTTCATGACATCCTGCGCAGTTGCTCTCCATGCATGGCCAGAGCCGCACTTCCACTGCACCTTGGTTTTGTTATTCTTGTAGTCCTTGGCCAGGCACTGTCCACCAAGTCGGGCGGCGTGGCTCCGCAGTCGCTCCAATCCCAGCGGTACATTCTTTGCGCAGGCTGGGCACCAGGTCTTGGCGTTCAACACACTGTTTGCGCTCGCAAGCCAAATGTGGCCTTTCTCGCACTGCCACGGAACAGTCGCCACGATGCCAACATATTCGGCAGCCAAGCACTTGCCGCCGCGGGCAGCGGCATGCTCCCGCAAGTCCTGCAAGGTACGCCTGGACCGTGATGTCTGTGTGTGGGCGCACTCGGGGCACCAGGTCCCTCGGTTCAGAACCATGCTCGCTGCGGCCTCCCAGGTGTGTCCCAGCTTGCACTGCCAGCGGACCTTGGTTTTATTGTTCCGGTAATCGTCGCACAAGCACCTGCCACGTCGTTCCCTCGCGTGCTCCTGGAGCTGGTGCAAGCTGAGGCTGCGCTTGCTGATGCCGCAGCGAGGACACCAGCTTCCCTGATTCAGCACATTGTTCGGCGTGGCCTCCCACCTGTGCCCACATTTGCACTCCCACTGGACGTGTGTCGTGCAATTCCTGTACTCTGTTGACATGCATCGCCCGCCCTTGCTGGCCGCGTGGTCCATCAACCTCTGGAGCGCAGCCCTTTTGAAAGCTTCTTTGCTTTGGCCCTTTCGCAGGGGCAGGTCCAGGGCCGAGGAGCGGATCTCCTTGCCATCCTGCGCGTCACACCGCAGGTCGCTCACGCCCACACTCGTCCATCGTGGATGCGACTGGCCTTGTGCAAGAGGCTTGCATCTATAGTTCATCTGTCCCGACAAGCCTCCGAAACTGACCAGCCTTCTGACATGTCGGAGCCTTGGAAAAAAGCCAATGCAGAACATCATGCAATAAGGACGTAGCCTTTGCAGATCTTTCCATCAGCAGCTGGCCCAGATCAGCATTCAGCATCCTAAGCTACCCAAAAACCATCGAGGTCCATGTGCCGGTAAGGGCCTGCCTAGAGAAAGCTTCAAGCGCACCAAGGGAATCTCAAGGGCATCCCAACACCGCAAACCCTAGTGTATCCCGGCATGCTGCGGCTGAAATGCGGGGCTTTCGCTGATCACTGTTGACCTCGTCTTTGGGAGTTCTACACCTCGACCAACCATGCCAGGCTCAAGGCTTCAGGGCCCTTGGATTGAACACCCCGTCCCCTCCTCGGACATTCCAGCTGCAATTGTAACTACCGCATACCCGTCAAGAAACGGCTGACTTCATTCAACAGGGGCCCTCTGAACCCTGGGTGGGACCCTATCCCAAGAACCTAAGACCCTTCGACTGTACTACCCTAAACCCAAAACCCAAAACCCTGAACCCTAAACCCCAAACCCCAAACCCTAAACCCTACCTAAACCACAAACCCGAAACCCTATAAACCGAACCAACCGCTCCCGCACTCCAGGCCTCAAGCTGGAAGGGTTTGAGGGGCCGGGCGCCGCTTCGGGCCCACAAGGGAGCTGGGTATTTCAGTTTAGGGTTTAGGGTTTAGGGTGGTGTTTAGGGTTTAGGGTAAAGATGGGGCGGCGCCTTCTCTAGGCTGCCCAGCAAAGGGTGCCCTTGTTTAGAAAGTGATCGAATGGCCCCTCAGAGACAAAAAGGGACTAAAGGTCGTGGGGAGGCATTCTGGCTCCAGGGTGTGGATGCCTGACTTGGGCATGCGCTCATGTCATGGTAGGGTGCTTAAGGGAGGGGGGGTTCCAGGCAGGTAGGTACCTATAGGGAACCTTAGGAAGCTTAGGGAGCCTTAGAGAGCAGTAGGGAGTAGTAGGGAGTATTGGGGAAGCTTGGGATAGAAACCTCCCTTGAACCCCCCGAATGGGCCAAAAGAACATTAATGACATTCCCATGGTGGGTACCTCTCGGCATTAGTGCCGTTTGGGTGTTTTGTTAGGGACGTGTTCCAAAGCTCAGTCGAAAAGACGGTTCATTTTAAATTTCAGTTGCTTCGTAGCCCAGTAAAGTGACCCTCTTGTAATAGGGACACCTGTTTTTGGGTAGGTTACTTTAACAGGGAAACCCTGAACCAGAAAAAAGGGTGAAGGGTACCACTCGGCTGCCAAGGTTGTCAAGGAAACTAGTTGGCACTCAAGCAGCTGCATCGAATTGTGCACACCCCGTCAGCCCTGGGCTAGGATGGGGCAGCAAGTTGCAACACCCCTCGAGCAAACTAATTATCATCAGCTGGCAACATCGGGGACGTGATCTCAGCGATGGAGTACCATTGAAGCAGTGCCGTAAGCACAAAAAGGCGCTTGTCGACAGCAAAACATGGCACTAGCACCAGCCGCACGCCGGCCTCTTCACAAAGCTGGCGCTTTCTCGCATCCCTCTCCAGCTGGCTCTGAAAGCTGGTGGAGTCGCCGAAATGGAAGTAGTTATCAGGATCGAAGTGCTGCTCCCCCTGGTACTCGAACGCCAAACATAGTTCGGCACAGTAGCCGTCCAACTGCAACCCTCGCAGAAATGTTGGGGAGGACGACTCAAACCTTGCGGGATCGAAGATGGCTTCCAGAATGCTTCGGACCTCAGCTTCCGTCTTCCAGATGGCGGTCGCACATTTTGGGCACCAGGTCTTTCCATGCAGGATGTTGGCAGCACTCGCTTTCCACCTGTGACCAAGCTGGCATTCCCAAAGAAGCTTGACAGTGCCGTTGCTATACGACCTGGACAGGCACCTCCCACCCAACGACGCGGCGTGCTCCTGAAGACGCGCCAGGCCAATCTTCCGGCACTCGGGGCACCAGGTGCCATTGATGATGACATTGTGCGCAGTTGCTTGCCATACATGGCCGGAGCCGCACTTCCACCGCACCTTGGTGTGAGCATTCTTGTAGTCCTCGGCCAGGCACTGTCCACCAAGGCGGGCAGCGTGGCTCCGAAGTCGCTCCAATCCCAGTGGTACATTCTGCGCGCAGACTGGGCACCAGGACTTCTGGTTCAACACACTGCCTGCCCTCGCTTGCCAAACGTGGCCTTTCTCGCACTGCCAAGAAACTTTCACTATCACTCCAGCATATTTGGCAGCCAAGCACTTGCCGCCACGGGCAGCGGCGTGCTCCTGCAAGTCCTGCAAGGTTTTGCGCTTGGACTGTGATCTCGTTGCGCGGGCGCACTCAGGGCACCAGGTCCCATTGCTCAGAACATTTGCCGCTGTCGCCTCCCAGGTGTGTCCCAGCTTGCACTGCCAGCGAACCTTGGTATTATTGTTCCGGTACTCGTCGGACAAGCACCTGCCACCTCTCTTCATCGCTTGCTCCTGTACCGGCGCAAGCTGAGCCGTTGTTTGCTGATGGCGCAGCGAGGGCACCAGCTCCCCTGGTTCAGCACATGGTCCGGCGTGGCCTCCCACCTGTGCCCACATTTGCACTCCCACTCGACTTTCGTCGTGCTGTTCGTGTACTCCGTTGACATGCATCGCCCGCCCTTTCGAGCTGCATGGTCCCTCAACCTCTGGAGCGCAGCCTTCTTGACTGCCTCTGCGCTTTGCTTCTTCTCCTGGGGCAGTTCCAGAGTTGAGGAGCGAGCCGTCCATCGTGGATGCGACTGGCCTTGTGCAAGAGGCTTGCGTCTACGGGTGACCTGACCCGACAGGCTTCCGAAACTGACCACACCACCTGCAAAGGCAGCCAGCCAGGATCGAGCTGCAGCACGTGGACGTCCAGAGCTCAAAGGCTTTCTGACATGTCGGACCCTGGGAAGGGAGCCCCTGCACATGCTTCCATCAGCGAGCTGGCCCAAATGAGCATTCAGCATCCTAAGCTGTGCTACAGCCCTCGAGGTCTACGTGCCTTTAAGGGGGCCTGCCTAGCCAAGGCTCCAGAAAGGGCACAAACTAAAGCCAGCATGCTGCGGCTTGCATACAACAAAGCATTGAAAATCTTGGCCCTTGGGAGAGCTTGCATTATAGCAACCCATGGGGCAGTCTCATGTGCCTGCTCACAAGGATATGTCATACAAGGGCTTTCGGTTTTCGGTTGCTTCCCTGTTGGCCCATCGATTCCCCTTCAAAGCTACCGAGCCCCCTACCTCACTGCAAGCTGCTCTGCACCAATAAAACTCGCGAAAATCCGCGCGCCGCATTTTGGGAGTTCTACACCCTCCGCAAGCATGCCCAAGCTCTCAAGGCTTACAGGGTTCTGGAGCCTTGCAAGCTTGAGCGCCCACAACCCCCCCCCCCCCCTTCAAAACATGTCAGCTGCTCTCTTTAACTACTTTCCCTGGAGCTGGCCTAAATTGGTGACCCAATGGCATGGAAGCAGCCCCCGGGGCCTGTCTTTGTGGTGCTGGAGGCGAACTCGGATCGAGCTCTCCATGGCCGCACACGCGAATACTGCCAAGCCTTCGTCTATACATCGATCCTAGTGGCCAGTCCTGTGTGTCCTGCAAAACTTGATGTCACTGTAACGTGCCATCAGCGGCCTTGAAAGGTTTTGGCTTTCCTGAGTCTAAACACTGACAGCTGCAAGCGTGCAAACGATGAAGCAGCGGTAGAGCCCATCAGTCAAAAAAAACCCAGGCCCGGCGGCAAAGGCCCTGCCCTATAGGCCCGTGGTTGGGAAGACTGCTATGAGACTGCAGCAGGTACTCCCTGTTGGAAGGGGCACCATCTTGGTATTCAACAAGCCTACGCCGACGACATGGCGAAATGAATCCAGGTCTGCGTCAACCCAGACACAATGACAGGCGGTGAAATTCTGTCATATAATCCCTGAACTTGACCCCTTGTAGAGTTGATTACTTCGAGATACGTATGAGTCTTCATGAAACCGAAGTCAGGATGCCGTAAACCCTAAAACCCTAGAGCCCCAATCAAGCGGCCCTCAATGTCTCTAGCTTCTGCATGTTTAGAACAAAAAGCACACCGAATGGTCCAATGCATCCGGAAGAAGAAAACCCTAATGCCCCAATTATACCCTAGTACCCTAATGCCTTAATACCCTTTTTCCCCAAACACCCAAAGACCCACATACCCCAAGGCCCGACACCCTGCAACACTACCTAGACTACCCTGATAAACCAGGACCATAACAAACAGAAGTTTTGTCATATTTTCTCTTGGGTCTTGAGACAACGCAATTCAAAAAGATCCTCTGTGGGAAGAATGGCCTTGTGGAAGCAGCGCTCCTCACTGCGGCCCTAGGGTGCAAAACAGATTCCTTCAATCTCAGGGCGCCCAAGGGGCCTTTAGGGTTTCGGGTTTATAGGGTTCAAAGTTAGGGGTTTAGGGTCTATAGGGTTTGGGCTTAGGGCTTTGGGTTTATAAGGTTTACAGAATTCAAGGGTTTAGAAGCAGCACAGGACGGAAATTTAGATCGGTCCGCCGATGTAAATTAAGCGATCCAAGCTGGTCTTGTCTTTTCTTCCGACTCGGGCATGCTCTCTCATTGCAGGGGCGAGGTGTCGACGACGCTCGGCATCCAGCCTGATAAAGCGCCAAGGTGCCGTACGTGCATGGGAAAGGGTTTCAGGGCTTCAGGGTTTTCGGGCTTAAGGTTTCAGCAGCTGGTCTGGAAAAAGGTGGAGAAGCAACTTGGAGCCTATGGCTTTCTACGGGTTCTGCAGGTGTCCAGTTTTCTGTTGAGTATGTCAACCCTGTCAACGCGGACTTACTTGTCATTTTGCTTGCGCTCATGGTTTTGCTGTCAGATGTTTCTTTTGCACTACCTGCATCGCATTTGCTTGCGATTGCTACTGTAGTAGGCGCATCCAAAAGATCGCTATGCGAACGCGCTGGTTTGCGGTTTTGCTCCTGTCTCCTGTCTCGGATTCGCCACTGACTTGGATGTTCCCATGCTCAGGTAGGACTATATCACTAAGTCCTGACAAAAAGGGTCTATGTCAAGGCATGAATGAAGGGCGATATGGAAGTGCGAGAATAATTAGGAGTACAGAGGTTCCCGGGTTGAGCCGATACTTCAAGGCTCAATGCCCACGTCTAGGTTTACAAGTGCCCCACAACAAGTTCTTGTAGCCACGCAGGGTATACCTATAATTACTCAGTTGCTCCACCTGTGACCCCAGGTGTCTACCAATAAACCAGACACTGAAAAAAAAAAACAACGGCACCGGCCGGCAAGCTTTTGAATCTCTTTCGTTCACATACACAACCAGCGGCGCCGAAATAGCACCGTGGGGTTTGCATCGAACTCTGCACGACATGACGCGGCATGTCATGGCATTGGGCCCGAGGAAGGCCATCCACTAGTCTCTCTCTCTCTCTCTCTCTCTCTGTCTCTCTCTCTCTCTCTCTCTCTCTCTCTCGTAAACAGGCCCCTCACTGGTCTGAGCTGCTCAAGTACTTTAGGGCGTCTGGCAACATTGGATGCGTGACCTGCGCGATGGAGAACCATTGAAGTAGAGCCGTGATCACAAACAGGCGCTTGTCATTGACGAAGTACGGCACCAACAGAAGACGCACGCCGGCCTCTTCGCAAAGCTGGAGCTTTCTCGCATCCCTCTCCAGCTGACTCTGAAAGCTGGTGGAGTCGCCAAAATGGAAATAGTTGTCAACATCGAAGTGTTGCTCGCCCTGATACTCGAACGCCAAGGATAGCTCAGAACAGTAACCGTCTAACTGCAACCCTCCCAAAAACTTCGGGTATGACGACTCAAACCTTGCGGGATCGAATATGCTTTCCAGAATGCTTCGGACCTCAGCTTCCGTCTTCCAAGCGGTGGTTGCACATTGCGGGCACCAGGTCTTTCCATGAAGGATGTTCTTGGCACTCGCTTTCCACCTGTGGCCATGCTGACATTCCCAAAGAATATTGACAGTTTGGTTGCTATACGTCTGGGAGAGGCACCTCCCACCCATCGACGCGGCGTGTTCCTGAAGACGCGCCAGGCCGATCTTCTGGCACTCGGGGCACCAGGTGCCACGGTTGACGACATTACTAGCAGTTGCTCGCCATACATGGCCGGAGCTGCACTTCCATCGCACCTTGGTGTGAGCGTTCTTGTAGTGCTCGACCAAGCACTGTCCGCCAAGGCGGGCAGCGTGGCTTTGAAGTCGCTCCAATCCCAGTGGCGCCCTCCTTGCGCAGATCGGACACCAGGAGTTCTGGTTCAACACGCTGCTTGCGCTCGCACGCCATGTGTGGCCTTTCTCGCACTGCCACAGAACTTTCGCCACCATGCCAGCATATTCGGCAGCCAAGCACTTGCCACCGTGCGCGGCGGCATGCTCCTGCAAGTCCCGCAGGGTGCGCTTGGACCTTGATTTCTTTGTGCGGGCGCACTCGGGGCACCAGGTCCCTGTATTCAGAACATTTGCCGCTGTGGCCTCCCAGGTGTGTCCCAGCTTGCACTGCCAGCGGACCTTGGTATGAGCGTTCCGGTACTCGTCGAACAAGCACCTGCCACCTCGTTCCCTTGCGTGCTCCTGTAGCTGGTGCAAGCAGAGTGCTCGCCTGGTGATGGCGCAGCGAGGACACCAGCTGACCAAATTCAGAACACTGCGCGGCGTAGCCTCCCACCTGTGCCCACATTTGCACTCCCACTGGACGTGTGTCGTGCAATTCGTATACGCTGCTGAAATGCATCGACCGCCCTTGCTGGCCGCATGGTCCCTCAACCTCTGAAGCGCGGCCCTTTTGAAAGCTTCCTTGCTTTGCCCTTTTCGCGGGGGCTGTTCCAGGGCTGAGGAGCGGATCTTCTCGCCATCCCTCCCGCCACACTGCAGGTCCCTCACGCCCGCGCTCGTCCATCGTGGATGCGACTGGCCATGTGCAAGGGGCTTGCACATATGGGTAATCTGTTCCGACAAGCTTTCGAAACTCACCAGCCTTCTGAGATGTCGGAGCCTTGGAAGAAAGCCCGGGCAGAACATCATGCAGGAAGGACGTAGCCCCAGCAGATCTTTCCATCAGGAAGCTGGCCACAATCAGCATTCAGCATCCTAAGCTACCCTAAAACCATCGAGGTCCATGTGCCTCTAGAAGAGCCTGGCTAGCTCACCAAGGGTATCTCAAGGGCATCCCAACACTGTGAACCCCAATGATCCCAATGTATCCCGGTATGCTGCGGCTTGCAGAAATGCGGGGCTTTCGCTGATCCCTGTTGACCTCGTCTTTGGGAGTTCAACAATTATAGGGCCCTTGGATTGAGCACCCCGTCCCCCCCTTGGACATTCCAGCTGCGTTTTAGCTACCATCCTGATACCTGTCAAGAAACGGATGACTTCATTCAAAAGGCCCCTCATGCTTTAAACTCTGCATGGGACCCTCTCTCAAGAACGTCTTGTTGCTATTACATCCCGCTAAGCCCTAGGACCCTTCGACTGTGCTACGTTCCAGACCTCAAGCTGCCGCACGCCGCTTCAGTCTCATAAGGGAGCTATATTCGCAGTTGTTTTCGGGGTTGGGAAAGATGGGGTGGCATATTCTCTAGGCTGCCCAGCAAAGGGTGCCCTTTTTCTTTGAACCGGCTTTATAAAGTGATAGAATGGCCCCTTAACGACAAAAAAGAAACCTGAGGGTCCGGGGCAGGCATTAAGTCATAGGGTGTGGATGCGGGGCCCTGACTTGGCCGTGCGCTCGGCAGGGCTTCGAATTGGCGGCCTAGCCAGCCTGAAAACCAGGTGGCCCTGGAAGGGAAATGCTTTGGTACGACCGTAACATGTTTTTCCTCTCAAGGGGCCAAAGGAGACATGCCATTCCCATTGCAGCAACCTCACGGCTTTAGCGCTTCTTTGGGTGTTTGTTGGGGACGTTGGGTTTGCCCTGCTTTGGCACATCAGGGTGTAAGCTGCTCAGAGCTGCAAAACGTTCTCTCTCCTTGCAGGGATTCGAGTCCGTGGGGTTGTTACCTTGCAGGGAGTCGAGTATATGGGCTTAGGCTCAGTGGCTTCATGGGAATCGTGCGGGCTGTAGCTTTAGGGCCGAGGCCCTCGCCGAGGTCTCTGAGTGTCTTTTAAGCGGGCTTAGGGTTGTTGGTACCTTTCACATTGGTTCGGGACACGGCTCCTTGGGTGCAGGGTCGGGGATTCAAACTTCCTGAGGTGAGGAAACTCACGGCTGAGGATTCCGAATTTTGAAGGCCTCTTAGGCGCTAGCTTCGGTGGGCTGGTAACATTGTTTTTGCTTAGGGTTTTTGCTCCTCCCAAGCGCGACGTCCAAGGCACAGCAAGGGCTTGGAATCTTTTGCTGCTGGTGATGTTGAAGCAAACGACCTACCGACCTACCGCAAGCGCCAGAGAGGCATAGGATTCCCCACTCTTTACGGGTGATTTGGCAAAGGATTTCAAGTCAGAGCCTTGGCGATCCTTGGAATGACTGCATACTAGGCTTCTATATATGGGGTACAGAAGAGTGCCAAGAGCTACAGAAAGCGCTGTTCCCATCTACGCAGAAGGCTCGACTACGCCGAAGCCTGGGTTGACGTGAAGGCAACCACGAGAGATTCCAAACTTGCCCCAACAACAACGCCAGAAGGTTCCATGGGTACCTGTGGGTTTGTTTCTTGAGGATCAACAAGCTTTGGCTGTAGGGGTACACCCGCCCTATAACCCCAGTTGCAGTTCGAACTCGCATGAGCAAACCCATGAAGCTCCTGACAACAATCCGAAACCCAAAGAAGCAACGGCGCCGCCTGGCAAGCTTCTGCGTCTCTTTCACACCCGGTTACTTGTGGCCCTGCCGGGTCTCCATCGAGCACGGAGCTACTTACCATGTCACGACACTGGACGCGACGAAGGCAAGCCGATAGTCTCACAAGCGAGCTCTTCAATGCTGTGATGCGGCAACATCGGGGCCGTGATCTGAGCGATGGAGAACCATTGAAGTAGAGCCGTGAGCACAAAAAGGCGCTTGTCTTTGGCGAAATACGGAATCAGCACCAGCCGCACGCCGGCCTCGTCGCAAAGCTGGCGCTTCCTGGCATCCCGCTCCAGTTGACTCTGAAAGCTGGAAGGGTCGCCGAAATGAAAATAGTTGTCAGCATCGAAATGCTGCTCCCCCTGGTACTCGAAAGCCAAGGATAGCTCAGAACAGTAGCCGTCCAACTGCAACCCTCCCAGAAACTCGGGGTAGGACGACTCAAACCTCGCAGGATCGAAGATGGCTTCCAGAATGCTTCGGACCTCAGCTTCTGTCTTCCAAGAGCTGGCTGCACATTGCGGGCACCAGGTCTTGTTATGAAGGATATTTATGGCATTGGCCTTCCACTTGTGGCCGAGCTGGCATTCCCATAGAAGCTTGCCAGTGCGGTTGCTATACGACTTGGACAGGCACCTCCCGCCCAATGACGCGGCGCGTTCCTGAAGACGCGCCAGGCCGATCTTCTGGCACTCGGGGCACCAGGTGCCCGAGTTCATGACATTATTCGCAGTTGCTCGCCATACATGGCCGAAACCGCACTTCCATTGCACCTTGGTGCGAGCATTCTTGTAGTCGTCGGCCAGGCACTGCCCACCAAGGCGGGCAGCGTGGCTCCGAAGTCGCTCCAATCCCAGCGGGGCGCGCTTCGCGCAAATCGGGCACCAAGTCTTGAGGTTCAACACGTTGCTTGCACTCGCAGTCCATATGTGGCCTTTCTCGCACTGCCACGGAACTTTCGCCAATATGCCACCATATTCGGCAGCTAAGCACTTGCCACCACGGGCAGCGGCATGCTCCTGCAAGTCTATCAAGGTTCGCTTGGACTTTGATGTCGTTGCGCGGGCGCACTCGGGGCACCAGGTCCCTCGGTTCAGAACCATGTTCGTCGTGGCCTCCCAGGTGTGTCCCAGCTTGCACTGCCAGCGCATCTTAGCAAGAGCATTCGTGTACTCCTCGGACAAGCACCTGCCACCTCTGTTCCTCGCATGCTCCTGTAGCTGGTGCAAGCTGAGGCTTCGCTTGCCAATGGCGCAGCGAGGACACCAGCTGACCATATTCAGAACACTGCGCGGCTCGGCCTTCCACCTGTGCCCACGTTTGCACTCCCACTGGACTTTTGTCGTGCTGTTCGTGTACTCCGTTGACACGCATCGACCGCCCTTGCTGGCCGCATAGTCCCTCAACCTCTGAAGCGCTGCCCTTTTGAAAGCTTCTTTGCTTTGCCCCTTTCGTGGGGGCAGTTCCAGGGTTGAGGAGCAGATCTCCTTGCCATCCCGCCCGTCACACTGCAGGTCCCTCACGCATGCACTCGTCCATCGTGGATGCGACTGGCCTTGTGCAAGAGGCTTGCATCTACGGGTGATCTGTCCTGACAAGCTTTCGAAACTGACCAGCCTTCCGACATGTCGGAGCCTTGGAAAAAAGCCCCTGCAGAACATCATGCAGGAACGACGTAGCCCCAGCAGATCTTTCCATCACCAAGCTGGCCAAAGCCAGCATTCTTTGAGAAGAAAATAACATGGACTTCCAATTCGGGACGGCGGGGCTTGCGGGGCTTTGTTGGACTTTGAAGGGGACTGTTGGACATTGGGGCTTTGGAACTAGCATGAGTGTCAGTGCGGCCTCTTTCTGTGCAGCACTCAAACGTAAACCCCTCAAGCGCCGCATTCGGTTCTCCGGATGTGCTGCAAGGGGGATGGCACAAATTATGTCGGAGAAGGAGGCTCAGCATCCCAAGCAAGTACCGGCAGGAACCCCGCTTTTTGACTTTTCCACCCGCAGACGGCATCCATGTGAGAACTCCGAGAGGCCACCGCAGACAAGGACAAACACCATAATTCGCCACACAACCTCTGCTTGTTGACACCGAGTCCGAATGAAACCCTAAAATCCCTACATTTCAAAGGATTAAGCCTCGTGCCCCTAAAGTGGTACCCTCAAGGTTCTCCTTAAATATACTCCGAATAAGGCCTTTAGTATTCCCTAAGGAGGATCTTTACGAGGGTCCAAGGTCGAATCCCATGAGACATCTTCATGTTGCATTCCTGAAGCGCGCGCTTCCTCGGTCGCCGGATCATCTGCCGAAGAGTCCCCTTCGGGGCTTGCACTTCAGCTTGCTGTCCTTAGATTCCCAGGTGTGGGCGTCTACTTGAGGGTTCATGGGTCCTTAATGGGATTATACATACCCCTACTAGGGTGACAAGTATAGTGTCCCTACTTACAACCCCACTTAAGAACCTCCAACTAGGGTTGAGAGGGTTTTGGGGCTTTCAGGGTTTCGAGGCTCGCCGCGCCGGGGCAGACAAGGAAATGGTCCAGTGGTCCACGATGCGACTACGTCTGCTTCGCAGACAGAGGGCCCCAAAACCCCAAAACCCCTGAAGCCCCAAAACCCCCTGGTCCCTAAACCCTTTTGATGCGTTGCCCCCCGCTTAGCTGAACTCCTGGATAAATAGTCAGTCACTCACTTCTCACAGGCTGTTTTGGGGTCCTTCTGAGCCTCGTAATGACTCGTCACGCAATGAGACCTACCAACATTTGAAGTAGGGTTTATATTTCTTGTACCCCCAACACCCAATATATACACTCACCAATATTAAAAAGGAACCTTATATACACTCACCACTAAGAGCAATATATTCCCTGCTTCATGTGCCAATGTATGTGCGTATGGCGTATGTCGTAGAATCTGTTCTAGCAGGTGCAGGAGGTCATCGTTGAGCGGCTGATGGCTCACCCACAACTCCTAGACTATCCTTGCAACTGAGCCACGAGGGCGTGTTGCACCAACAAAGAGACCGAAAATTTGCTGCACCGAAACAAGCCCTAAGAAACCCTACGCAACCCAATCTCTGCACCAGGTGTCTTTGCAAAGGTGCCAGATGGAGTAGTGCTTGAACCTGAACGCCTCTTTGAAGCTGTAGCGCTCGCCGACGCATTGGCAGGTGCCCGCGGTGAGCTCCTCGCCAAGCTGACTCGCAGGGTTGTCAGGCTCATAGGGCTGAGAGGACTTCTGGGGTTTAGGGGATCTATAGGGTTTATGGGACTGATAGGGAATGTAGGGTTGAAAGGTAGTAGGTTCAAAATAGGCTGAATCTAATTAATGTTAAAGCAGGATGAATGATTCAGCTTCTGGCGCATCTGGGCTACAGCATGGTTTACAGGAGGGCAAGCCTAACCACAGGGTTTTATGGCGGCTGTCGGGCTCGTAGTGCTTAGGCTGTATAGGCCTTGCAAGGCTCTTTATGTGTTACCCTGATACCTTAATATAGCCCCTAGATACCCCCACAACTACCCCGAATACATGCCCCTATGAAAACAGAACCCTCTTAATGAGACCACAAGCCCACATAAGGTATCAGAAATTAGAAAGGTTCAGATTCGGATGAGGTCGAGGGGCTCATGGGTTGACAGCCCTAAGCCCTATCGGGACCTCTGGCCGGTGGCACCCTTGCTGTGCTTCTTACCAGGTAAGCCAGGGTTTGCAAGGGGTCAAACTCTCAAAGCCATAAGCCCCTCGATGAAGGGTTTCGGGGCTTGTTTCGCAAAAACGACCTAGCCTATCAGCAGCGAGACATACCTGCACTTGATGATGCTGGTTCCTGATCTGCGCCATCTGAGTGACGCAAACCGCAATCGCTTTCTAACCCTGCGTGCCTTCCCGATAATGGTGTTGATGGTTGCCGTGCAGCGAGCACCCTCCCGCTTGTAGTAACAGCCTTGGCCACTGTGGGTTTTGGGATCAGGAGTAGCTTACAAGCCCTTAACTCTAAACCCTAAACCCAAAACTCAAAACCCTCAACCCTAAACCCTACATCCTAAACCCGCCGGTCCAGAAATGCCCAAGCTGCCGCCCGTCGCGTCTCCCAGGTCCTGGGTGCCCTCCGCCTGTCGTTTGTGATGAAAAGTGCCATGCCCCTGCTTGACATAACCACCATCATATCTATACCAACAACAGAAAAGTACTAATAGTGTAATGGGTCCGAGTCCCTTTCTGTAGTACAAAAAATATTAGAAGAAAATTAATCTATATAAACATTGTACACGTTTATACAGAAACCAATTCAGCGTTCAGGTGTGCACTTTGGGAGACCTTCTGCTACTGGGAGGAGGTGAAGAGTCAAGAAATCAGGGGCCAACGGCATTGAATTCTACAAGCGTATGCAACAACCAATAAACTCAGAAACCAAACTCCGCAAAACCTTGACACGCTCCATGCCGTACCCTGTATATCTTTCCACAAGCTAAACTGCGCCCGGGGTCATCCCTTACTGATTGGCAGCACGTTAAAAACTCAGTTCAAGCCATGGGCAGAAGCAGTCAAACCATAGCCACGTACGTCAAGGATGCCATGAGGAAGAGTTGTTAAACCATAAACCCTAAACCCCTAAACCCCGAAACCCCTAAACCCCGAAACCCCTAAACCCCTAAACCCCTAAACCCTTAAACCCCTAAACCCCTAAACCCCTCGACCCTAAACCCTCAACCCTCAACCCTACCCTTTGTTCGCACCAGCCCACCTGCATGACATCAGCATGCTTCACAGCACCCGACTCGGCCAGGGTGTGTCGATTCGCTCTGTGGCTCTCCGTCCGGACGGCTTCCTTCGTTGCCGAGTTTATAAGCCCCCAAAAAGCGTACACTTTTTCAGATCTATAGGAGGATTATGGTGTCCCAGAAAGTGTAATACTAAAGTGTACTCATTCAGCTACTAAGCTTCGGAAGGCAGCAGGAGGAAGAAGACGAGGCAAAATGCGCGGCTGATTGCGAAGGCGGCCATCGGGCTCTAGAGAGCGGGGAAGAGGAGTGCGCAGACTTCTAGGGCTTTGCTTCCGAGCACATCGGCTTCCGATTCGCGCAGCTGCGTGGAGCAACACCTTCACCGCCTCTATTGTCGTGGCATCATCTCTCTCCTTCTCGCTCTCTCTCTCTCTCTCTTTGTCTTTGTCTTTGTCTTTGTCTTTGTCTTTGTCTTTCCCTTTCTCTTTCTCTTGCTCTCTTTCTCTCTATGAAGAGTGGTACGTGGTGATTGAAAACTGCCCACAAAGTGTTCTCTCACACTTCAGCCAGATGGCCGTGAGGCACAGGCCCGCTGCTATTGGGATACCTCCTCCTTGCGGTTTTACATGCTATCAGAAGGGCGGTCGTCCCAACTCACCCTCACCTCCCCAACAGTCCGCGATATTTACTGCCCAATTGCCCCTAAGCCGCTGGTGCTGACTCGCATCGTCCTTGATGTCTCAAGCGCGGAGCTCTTAAGATTCCTGCTCCCCCTTTCTCTTCCAAACTGTGCGTCTTTTTAGGTCCGAGGTCTCTTCGTGTCTTTTGCGCGGGCTCGGGGTGGCAACTTACGTAACCTCATGGATTCAAGATGAAGCTTCTTGGGGTTTCAGGGTACACTTTGGGAGAGGGTTAGGGACCTGGGCTGTCATCAGTGAATGATGAGGTTCTTTCAGGGCTGAGGGTTCTGAAGAGCTGCGGGGTTTCTTCTTCTTTTGAACCCTAAACTTTCGAAACCCATATTAAAATTCCAAAACCCAATCCTAACCTCCTCGTTCCAGTGAGAAGCTATGGGGGCTCCGGGCTGTAGGCCTGCCAAGAGAGTACACTGCCCTTGCTTTGACTTTTTTCAACCCTAAGGCTGCAAAAACCCTGAACCATGAACCCTTGCTGTCTGGAGATAAGTAAACTCCCTGCCTCTTGCGGTGCAGCAGTATCAGGTCCAACCTGCCGCACGCGGTTGTGTAGTCGTTTACTGGGGCCTTCAATTGCCCTTAGGCACAAGATAGCCCAAAAACCTTAGCAAATGAGGCCTTTGGGCCCAAAAACCCTTAAATAAGAGTCCTTGAGGCCTTAGGGTTAAGGGCCAAAGGGGGCTCCGATAACAAAAGGCGTTGAAAAACTGTCCACGGCTAAGCTTAGCAGGTCGGTGAGCCCCTGGAGTTCCAAAGCTCAGTCCGTTAATTTCACGCGCTTCGTAGCCCAGCAACCATCTTATAGGTAAGGGCACGCTTTTTTTGGGTTGGTTACTTCACAAGGCTACCCAGCACCAGAGAAGAGGGTAAAGGGTACCACTGGGCTACCAAGGTCGTCAGGGAAGTTAATTGGCACTGCAGCCGCTGCATCGAATTATGCTCAGGCTGTTAGCACTGGGCTAGGATACGGCAGCAAGCTGCAACACCCCTCGGGCAAACTAATTATAGCCTCATCAGACCTCTCATGCGCGTGCTGGCAACATCAGGGCTGTGATCTCAGCGATGGAGTACCATTGAAGCAGTGCCGTACGCACAAAAACACGCTTGTCATTGGCGAAATGCGGCACTAACACCAGCCGCACGCCGGTCTCTTCACACAGCTGGCGCTTCCTGACATCCCTCTCGATTTGACTCTCAAAGCGGGAAGGGTCACCGAAATGGAAGTAGTTGTCAGGATCGAAGTGCTGCTCCCCCTGGTACTCGAAGGCCAAGGATAGCTCGGAACAGTAGCCGTCCAACTGCAACCCTCCCAGAAACTCGGGGTAGCACGACTCAAACCTCGCAGGATCGAAGATGGCTTCCAGAATGCTTCGGACCTCAGCTTCCGTCTTCCAAGAGCTGGCTGCGCATTGCGGGCACCAGGTCTTCTTATGAAGGATGCTGGCGGCACTGGCTTTCCACCTGTGGCCCAGCTGGCATTCCCAAAGAATTTTAACAGCTTGGTTGCTATACGACTTAGAAAGGCACCTGCCACCCAACGATGCGGCGTGTTCCTGTAGACGTGCCAGGCCGATCTTCTGGCACTCGGGGCACCAGCTGCCCGAGTTCATGACACTGTCCGGAGTTGCTGGCCATACATGGCCAGAGCCGCACTTCCACCGCACCTTGGTGTGAGCATTCGTGTAGTCCTCGGCCAGGCACTGTCCACCAAGGCGGGCGGCGTGGCTCTGTAATCGCTCCAATCCCAGTGGTGCTTTTTTTGCGCAGACTGGGCACCAGGTCTTGTGGTTCAACACGCTGCTTGCACTCGCACTCCATATGTGGCTTTTCTCGCACTGCCACAGAACCTTCACGCTCATGCCAACATATTCGGCAGCCAAGCACTTGCCACCACGGGCAGCGGCATGCTCTTGCAAGTCCCGCAAGGTGCGCTTGGACGGTGATGTCGTTCTGCGGGCGCACTCGGGGCACCAGGTCCCGTGGTTCAGAACATGTGCCGCTGTGGCCTCCCAGGTGTGTCCCAGCTTGCACTGCCAGCGAACCTTGGTATGGCTGTTCCGGTATGTGTCGGACAAGCACCTGCCACCTCTTCTCATCGCGTGCTCGTGTAGCTGGTACAAGCTGAGGCTTCGCTTGCCGATGGCGCAGCGAGGACACCAGCTCCCCTGATTCAGCACGTTGTGCGGCGTGGCCTTCCACTCGTGCCCACACTTGCACTCCCACTGGACCTTTGTCCTCCTGTTCGTGTACTCCGCTGACGTGCATCGCCCGCCCTTGCTGGCCGCATGGTCCCTCAACTTCTGGAGCGCTGCCCTCTTGACTGCCTCTCTACTTTGCTTCTTCTGCGGAGGCAGTTCCAGAGCTGATGCGCACCTGGCCTTTCCATCGCGGCGATCACACAGGAGATCCACTCTATCAGATCTCATTCGTTGCACGTGAAGCAGGCCTGCTGCAACAGGTCCGCAATCACACGCGACCTTCCCAAGGCCTCTTCTCACAACAGCACCTGCTACCACGGCCAGGAAGGACCCAGCTGCACTTCTTCTGTCCCTACGGCCCAACGCTTCTTCCAGGGATCGAAGTCGAAGCCTTGGTCCTGGCACGGGCACCCTGCAGTTCTTTCCATCGGCAAGGGAGCTGGCCAAAGCAAGCATTCGGAAGCCTAGGCCTTAAAGCATGTCAAAGTCCTGATGTTGAGTGGCAGAGAAAGTATGGTTCTGGTTCACATTCTCAAGGCTTCTTTGGCTAATGCGCCTACTGCTTCGGGGTAACAGCCGACAACGAGGGAGTGGGTCCGAGCAAGGTTGCAAGCCTTGCCACCGGAGGGATACAAAGGAAACGACGGTGTGTGGTACTTACCATCTCATCGATACCTGAACGAGAAACACTGTGATTGCGGCATCATGGCTCATGGGCCTGTCCAAGCTGATGGGCCAAGAGGCAGAGGCATAGGCATCGCCCGGCCCACGGCTTCATTTACGACAAAAGAGGGCCACGTGCTGCACACCAAGCTGTGGGATATGCGTGCCAGGCTCGCAAAAATCTGTGTGGCCACCTTACCGTCTGACGAATGAAGAAACAACAGTATATTTACTCATGGGGGGTCGTCTACAGGATTTCGTGCAAACTTTTCATTGATGCGCTTGGCCGGCGACCGGCTATGCGAATTGCAGCATAAGATGCCTCAATAGACAAGGCAGAACTTCCCCGGAACAACTTGTTCATCCTCAAATCGCCACCCCCCCATGTCAAAAAATCATGTGCGACTGCACACGACGGGCCCGTCGACCATTTAGACTTCAAAAACCCTTTTGAAGGACAGAACCCCTAAGCCCCGGACCATTCGAGAACAAAAATCCCTTCACGGCTTCAGGGGTGTCTTTTGCATCGCTGAAACAAGCCGCCTCGAGGCGTTTCCATGGCTCCGTAGTGTCGGCCGTTCAGGCTTTAGGCCAAGTGTGTCAGGCAATTGCTGCGCAGTGTGAAAGGAGAGACAAAAACGCTTTTTCCAAGCGGGGCCTGACTCACTCAGCCTAAACAGTGCCTACCTCCAAGATGTTCCAGATCTTTGACTCAACTCTAGCCTTGATCCGCCGACAAAAAGTGTTGGTTTGGGGTACGTGAGGTAGGCTGTAACGCTGCCAGGGTCTGGGCAAGCCTTTCTCTTTCTCCGCGCCGCCCCAAACGAAAGTGCCGAGTGAGAAGTGCCCATATGCACCTCAGGCGTTGTATGCCTCCACTGCGTGCTCCTTCATGAACTCGTTTAGGAGGTCGCCTTCCCACTGTTCCTCGGCACCAGAATCTCCCGTTGGGAGCGGTTTAGGGTTTAGGGTTTAGGGTTTAGGGTTTAGGGTCCATGTCATACAAAATCAGCTCTATGCACTGTGCAAGGCAGCCCCGTGCTCTCTATGTCTCGATGGTACGCGTGAGCCGAGCCTACACAACTTCTCGCACTACGCTGCAAACTGGAAGAAACCCGAGGCAGCTGCGACCACATGCCCACGTCCTGAAGGGGCTTAGGGCTTAGGGGTTAAGTGACTGCGTACACAAAAGCATGAATGCAAGAACAAATCGCGATCCTGTCTGCCCCAGATCATCTTAAGTGCACTATAGGGGTTCATAGTAGTTAGGGTCTTTCCTTCGAGCAGCAGCAGACACTGCACGTGATCTTCCATGTGGGTGGCCTCGCACGCTGCGCAGCTTGAAGCCGGGCCATCGGCCAAAGATGCGTTCGAGAGACCTTGGGGAAAACGACTTTCAACCCAAAAATCGAGATTCAGCACGGGGCGCTGGACAGCTTCAGGCTCAATATTCTCCCGAAACAGAGGGAGCCTCCTCAACGAGGGTGGCCCTCTGAAACATATTCCTGAACATGATCCCCTGAAACCCAATGAGGGAAAATACACATGTCGAGGGCCTACCGAGACAATAATATGCCACCAAGTGTCAATAACATACCACACAAAAACACGGGAATCCAGGCTTGGGTCCTGGCGGCTTCACCAACTCCTCCCAGGGCACCCACTCGTCATCCTCGCGGCGTGGCTCCAGCGGTTGGGGCAAAGCTTCGGAATTGCGAGGGGGTTTGGGGTTCAGAGGTTCGTGTTGGGGCACTGGTCTGGGTCGGGACAAGTTGGACCGGCAGGAGCCGAAACTTCCTCGGAGGTCTCCACACCTCCCTAGATTGGCATCCCCCCTGATGCATTGGACAGCTCGAGGTTGCTCTGGTGTTCGGGACCCAAATTCGTAAACCCGTCCCCCTGCCTAAACCATCCTAAACCCAGCCCTGAGCCACGTTTTTCTCTGGGTCCTAGACTACAGCTGAAAAATCTCCTGTTCTTGGCAAACGCTCACTTTGAGGAAAGAGTCTGATCGGGGCAGGTTTGGTGCGGGGTTCACCAACTCGCCAAGGACCCCAACCACAACAAACCAGGACCCATCTAATGGGTTGATAGAGTTTAGTGGGTACGAGTACACAGTGTAGCCCCGCTTCTAACTATCCCTGCGAGTTAAGAGGACCTCCTCACAGCTGGCAACTTTTTCTTGAACGCGGTCTTGGCCACTTCGCCCCTGCGCCGTCATGCTTACCAGCCTTGCTGCGATGAAGCGGCGGAGGGGCGGCGCCCTTACTGGGGGTTTCGGGGATGTCACACGTCTCTGACAGCGTTGCCTTGACGGGTTGTTGGCTTGCCGGCATGTGCCAAACTCACACAGTGATTGCGATTCAATGATGCTTCTGGATATCTCTTTTCCTGTATACGATTCATACATCCTGACAGTATACGGAGATGCCTTTCAAGTGGAGAGATGGAGTCCTAGCATCTATGAGGGCATGCGCCGCTCTTCGGCGCATGCCCCCGCGCCCGGTGTCGTCCCTCTCAGATCTTCTTGGCGGCGGCCGCTTGGCGCTTCTTCTTCCTTAAGGGCGGGTTCCCAGAGAGCCCAGTACCCCTTAATGTATATTCCTTAATGGGGTTAATGGGAATTTGCCTTAAACTATGTTGGGATCCTTAAGGATATGATTTAAGGTATATATTCCTTGTTTCAGGGGTATTGGGCTCTTTGGGTTTTTTGGGCGTGAGAAGAACAGCTCAGGAGCTTAAGGGGCCTGCTTCAATCGTTTTAACTTCATCCTCAAAAAAACCTTCATGACCCTCTTCATCATCCTCACCTCACCACCTCTACTATCAGTGGTACCCCAAAGGGCCCAAATACCCCTTAAACAAGAGGAATCTACTTTAAATTATATTAAGGATCCCTATATAATGTAAGGTAGAGTCCTGAATTCAGGGGTATTGGGCTCTCTTGGTATACGTACTGGATTAAGCCTGGCGGCATGGTCTCGTACGCGCTCTTGACCTGGCCGACGTAGTCCGCCAAGTTACTGGCTCCCAGCACCCCCGGCTTTCCTGCAAGTGAAGAGGCTTGACGGCCCAGGGAGGACCCTAAACCATAACCCCTAAGCCCTATAAACCCCAAACCCTGCTATGGGGTTCCTCGTTTTTTGCATGATGACAGTACTTTACTTGGTTGAGGGGGTGTTGAGCTCTATGTGTTGTTTTGTGGGTCGGGGTTACTGGAGGCATTGAGGGGCTTGCGGGACATTAGGACATCTTGGGAGTCTTGATGTGAGGGTTGATAAGGATGTTTCCCGATCCCTTTGCTGCCGTCCGAGTGCCTTTTTCATACTTCCACTCCCTTTGCACCATGCCTAAGTTGCAAAACTACCCTAAGCCCTAAAACCCTAAACCCTAAACCCTAAACCCTAAACCCTAAACCCTAAACCCTAAACCCTAAACCAAAGCCCTAATGCCATAGTTTCGGAAGCCCTGCCCATTTCGAGGCCCCGTGGTCCTCCGCCATCACCGGACTTCTGCTTCCTCGGCAGAACAAAGCCAACACGTTCTCAAACTCTGCACATCCATGTGGGTAGAGGCCTGACAGGTGACTGCAAGCCCAAGTGCCCTCTTCATCTCCACAGACCTAAATACACTCAAGATTCAAATCTTGACAACACCTAAAGGCCTAAACCCTAAACCCTAACAACCGACACCCCTAACCCGTAACCCTGTTCATGAACTGCAAAGCCTGTTTCGTCATCTGCCGAGCTTCCCCTTCGCTCCCGCCTTGAGTGCGTCCTGGGCAGAAAAACTGAAGGGGGGGAAGGAGGGAAGGGCTTCGGAATCGGGGCTTCGATTCTTTGCGAAACACACAGACCAGCCAGGGCTAGCGGTTTACTGTTTCAGGGCGCCTCTTAGGCCCAAGTTCACAAGTCCATACGTCCTAAAGCCTGTATGGCCTAAACCCTTTAAAACCGCAAATGTAACCCATGTGCCTTACTTGTCTTGAAGAGTGGAGTGGCCCGACAGTTAATAGAGGTACTACACCGTAGATTGCGGATGTCTACAAGATCCTTACAGACAGGGTATCACTCCCCAACTCCCACTTCAGCACCAGCATGTTCATAAGCCCTAAGCCCTATAAGCCCTAAGCCCTAAGCCCTAAGCCCTAAGCCCTAAGCCCTAAGCCCTAAGCCATAAGCCCTAAGCCCTATAAGCCCTAAGCCCTAAGCTTCAAACCCCAAGTCCGAAAACCCTGTTTAAAACTGGGCGCTCTCAGATTCGAAGGTAGCCTGCATCCCCTATAAACCCTAACAAAACCTGAAGCCCTGTATGGGCTCCACAAGACCAAAGAAGTCCTACAGCATCCTAGACCCTGAAGTCTAAATCCTGTATACTAAAGACGAAACCCTAACCCCTAGACCCTAAACCACAAACCCTAACCCTAAACCCTAAACCCTAAACCCTAGCCCTAAACCCTAAAACCTAAACTCCCTGTGGCGCCTTGCTGAAGGTCGGCGGCCGCTCCGCCACGTCGCCGAACTTCGGCCGGTCCACGCGGCCCAGGAGCGGCTCGGGGACCTCGGGGGGGGCGTGCTGAAAGGGGGGAAGCCTGAAAGCACAAAGGGTTTAGGGCTTAGGGCTTAGGGTTTAGGGTTTAGGGGTTTAGGGTTTAGGGTTTGGGGTTAGGGTTTAGGGTTTGGGGTTTAGGGTTTATAGGGTTCAACAAGTATGTACGGATACCCATAGATGTATGCTTCGCCATTGCTGCACAATAAAAGGTTCCCAAGAAAGTAGTTAAATGCTACAGACGCCCTTCTGAGTCAGCTTGCTCTATGGTGCATGAGCTGCGCTGACATGTGCGGATGGCTGGTTGAATGATGCGCTGATGCTGGGAAGTCGTTAGTAGTGTAGGGTTCACTGCATGTGCGCTTGCGCACATCTGCGAGTACTTACCGATATGATGGGTATCAGAAAATGAAAACAGCCCAGGTCAAACAGCCCAGGGAATCCCCTCAAAACTCCCCATGCAATAAAATGTAACAATACTGGGAGCATCTAATAATCGGGGTAATTCGGGGGGTTTGATTTCGTTCATATAAGGGGGAGGGACTTCGGTTGGGGAATGTCAGTGCGACCTCCTCAGGGTTGATCTTGGCGCCCTTCTTCTTCTTGTCCTTCAAGGTCTTCGAGCGCTCCTGGCAGAAGCGCGCGAGGGTTTGGGGGAGCAAATCGCACAACCCAGCGCCCCCGGTCTCTTTTATGGCAGAGGACCACACGAAGAAGCCTCTATCCTAAACTGAGTTGTGCTTTGAACCCTTTTGAAAATTATCTATGAACAGGTCTCCTTATAAGGAAACAATGGAAAGTAAAAAAAGTTCTATCTGTCCTAACCCTGCTTCAAGCCAGGAGGCCTCTCACTTACAGGTAATCTCTGCCTTAAAGCCCGGAGAAAGCAAAGGTGCCACATTGGGGGGTCCTTTTGCCGCTGCCGCTGGTGGTCGGTGTTGACCTTCTTCTGCACGACCTCAGGTCTTAGGGTAGTTACATGGTCCTTGAATATGGGCCCTTCAAAGGGGACCCCTTATATAAGCTATCAAACCAGGGGCCCCTACTTCAGAACCCGTGCAGGTTGAGGGCATGCCAGCCTATGCACCTGGCGTGGTTGTTGCAGCATCTTTGCGGAGTCTTCACTGCCCCCAAAAAAAAAAGGATCACTGCATGCATCCACACTTCATATATGCCGACACGCTGACCAATCACCTAAAACCGATGTCCCTAAACCCTCCGAAACCCCAAACCCTGAACCCTAAACCCTAAACCCTACAAGCCCTAAACCAGTCTCCTTAGCACAGCAGCCCTCCCCCGCCTGGAGCTTGGTCTTGACCGCCTGATCCAAGCGCCGGGTGTAGTCGGCCATCGACTCCAGCTCCTGCGCATTCCGAGGATCTTAGGGTCTAGCCCTAAACCCTAAACCCTAAACCTTGAACCCTAAACCCTAAACAACCCTAAACCCTACGCTCCTTAGGGTTTAAGGGTTAGGGACAAGCCAGGCGACACACAATCCAGTCTTGGTCTGACTATCGCTTCATGAGGCCACGGGCGGGGAAACCTCACGTCCTCCTCACGTATAAAAAGATGCATGCTCGTTTGTGTTGCCTAGGGTTTAGGGCTTAGGGTTTAGGGGTTTAGAGTTTCGGGTTTAGGGTTATTTAGGGTTTAGGGTTTAGGGTTTAGGGTTTAGGGTTTACGGAAAGCCCAACCTAACCTGCAAGATCCTACCTAACCTCAATGACGATCATCAGACGTAACCGAAAATGCTACCGTAGGTTCAGGGTTTAGGGTTGAGGCGGTTGTGAAGAGTTTACGACTGGGGGATAGAGGCTTTTCAAGGTCGTAGGGTTTCGGCTCACTCGCGCAAGGCAGGCAAGGATTTGCAGGGTTTAGGGCTTCAAGGTTTTGGGATCATCGTGTCAGATGCTTGAAGGTTGAAATTTCAGGTTGCAGGGCTGCAGGTCACAGGATAAACCCTAAACCCTAAACCCTAAACCCTAAACCCTAAACCATCTGCGCTTGGAGAGGCGTGCCTTTCTTGTTTGCAGTTCATTGTTAAACAATCAAACTGCAGTCGGCCCTCTAACACAAACTGTCGACTGCCTGCAAACCCGAGCCCGTATGTTTCTTGTTGGTACC